CTTTTGGTAGCTAGCACTATCGTTTAAAGGGATAAGTTGGGTATTATGTTAATATGTATGGAAGTTTGTTAGTGGCCAATAAAGGATTCGACACTTATGAAGATAAGTGAATTTCCTATGTGTTTCATAGTTATTAATCCAAAGTCCTTGGCCAAGGCAGAGATGAATAGTGATTCATAACCGGGTTAATAAACTTGAAATAGAATCATAGTTATTAAGTCAATTTGGGTTTCGACAAAATCATACCCAAGACTTAATCGGGAAATTAGATGTCGAAAGGATTTTACATGTATGGAGTTGTAATCGGAATAGGTTTACTCGCTATTCACTTAATACTAGATTCATGCTACTTGCTAGGTGTTCCCATGATATGTGGGTTCATGAATTAAAGGGTTAATTCATGAATAAGAGTTAATAAGATTTAACTCAAATTACAAAGTGTTATAAACCCACTACTAGTATTAAGGTGAACCTAAAAGGTCACACTAATTATGAACAAAGGTAAAGATTGTATTTCTAATGGTTAGAATTAATTGATAAATATCTAATTTGATTAGATGTCAATTAAAGGAATATATTAATCAATAAGATTGATTAATTACATTTTAGATATTACTTTAGTAATTAAGGTAATTACTAAATTAATAAAGTTGAATTTTAAAATAGGATTTTAAATTTCAAATCCAAAATAATAATAATATGATTATTATAATATGGATGAAAATTGGGAAATGAATATAATAATAAAGTTTTGGAATAGATTCTCAACATTTATTATTCTATTATTATTTTTATCTTTAAATATGATTTAAGGATTAAAATAATAATTATGAATATAATAAATGGTGGTTAATGGTGGTTATGAACCACCTCACATTGTTTAATATATATAAAGTCAATAGTTAGTAATTGTATTTAAATAAAATCAGATTTTATTTAAATATTACTAAATATTGATTATTTTATGCTAAAATGTTTAGTATAAATAAATGTAAATGGTTTACATAAATTGCTAATTTGATTTTCAAGAAAGTGTTCTTAAAATTCAAGAGTTAGAAGAAAAGTTCTTCACAATAACAAGAAAAGTTCTTGAGAGTTTCCTAAATTAAATCCATATAAATTCATATACGAGAAAACCGAGTCATTCCTACTAGCGAAGGAAGGTCGTCGGAACCGGGATTCATAGGGTGGATACTGTTAGAGGGAAGACACTTGGATTCCTCAAGCGAGTAACCTCAATCCGTTGAAGTTATCAAACCAGGAACCGGTTCCCTCAAGTTCATCGTTTGTGAAGGAGTTCAAGACAAATCGGTAAATATTTGTACTGGTATTTACTTTTATATAACAAATCAAAATTTGTATATGATGCATGTTTTAAAGATGACGATCAGTTAATTCGCAATTAGTATGTACGGGTGTTGTATTTATACGATAAATACTTACTTTGAAAATTTTAAATTCCGCTGCTTAAAGCCCGTACGGTACTAGCGAACCCAACACTTCGGACATTACGTATAAATTTATTATTGTAGCTATAGACAATATATTCAATAGTATGCATCTTATCAAATATACAAGTAAATATAAATAATTTGAAAAAACTTGTATATTGATTCAATTTTTGTAACATTCTTGTTACATGTCTTCATTAAGAGTATATTGAATATGTAGAACTGATCCAAAATCAAAATATAATGAATTCAACGAGATTATTTACTAGATTAATCTTTTAAAGATACTCGCTAAATAATTCTTATGCAATTATGACACTGGTTAATATGACCAATCCTTCATGGATAACCAAATCTAGTTCTGTATTCAAATTTACTAGTGATACTTTTAATTATGTAATCCTTCAGGGAAACTCAAATTTATAGGCATAATATTCAACAAGATATTTTCTCTGCAATTCATGACATAATTAGAAAATAACTATAAAAGTTGCATACCATTAATTTAGTTCACTAGTCTCTTTTTCCGAAACGATAGATATATTATAAAAGGGCACAAATGTGCAAAATTACAGTCACCAACCGAATATAAACAGCCAACATCTAAATATAAACAACTAACACATGAGAAAACTGGAAGGACAGGTCAAAAGACCGCCTAGAACCGAACCCAATGGGGTAATGCTCAACAACACTAAAAAACCACAAAAAAACAACAACACAACACAAAGACCCCCACAGGGTAATACTCGAGTGTCGGACCCCCACAGGGTAATAAAGTTTGACACTCGGGCTCACAAGGGTCAACGACCCAAACCAAAAACACAAGACACTCACAACACAAATACAAACACAAAAACAAGAACACTAGAAACAAAACATACATAAACGAAAATAAATCTAACAACCTTTCCCCAGCGAACGAGCTAGCCCAAATCAGCAGAGAACGATTTACACAAGACCAATCCAAGCCAAGAACCTACTACCGAAACTGCAATCAAGCCTATACAGTAGCAAAACCCTAACTCCGAACCAGTCCCCGAATAGACCCATCGAAGACCGAGAGAGTCATAATCCACCCCAAAACCAGCCCACCTGAGCCCGTCTAACACCACTAGTCGAGCGCAAGATAACCAAAAACCTTGCCGCCTAACACCACTAGGCGAGCAAAGCCGGGGTGGAACAGCCCCTCAACCACGAAAGCCGCGACAGAAACCACAGCAGCAACCGGTGTCCTACCCCGCCCGACGACCACCAGACCAACCAATTTCACCGCCGCAGACCTCTGGCCAACAAGACGAAAAGCCCCTTTTGAACCCTACCAGAAAATCGAAGCCACCCAGAGGGAGACCTTCAATCGCAGACAACAACAGAAATTTGGGGGAACCTTCTCCAATCGAGAGAAACCAGCAATCTCTGCCACCAATCGCTGACCAATCACCGTCGGAGGAGCTTACCACCCACATTCGCGAGCACACCTGCAACCTAGGGTTTGGACTGACCATCTCTCGCAGAGCCGCCTCGGCAAAAACAGTGGTATATGCCATCGGGAGGAAGGTCGGGCGGTCGAGGACGACCATTGGTCGGAGCCCCGCCACCACCAAGGAAGGCGATGCGACTGAGATTGAAGAGCGACTGTCGGAGGTTTTTTTCTTCGCGAGCAGAGATGGGAAACTTCGCGAGCCTTTTTTAGGCTCAATAAAAAAGTTTAATATATTCAAATTGATTTAGGCTCAATAAATTTGGACCAAGTTCATAAAACAACGAAACAAAATATGCAACTATAATTTGCAAAATAAATTCATTTCGTAATTGCATATTTTGATATCTACACCATATATATTCCAAACAACATATATAAGTCACATTTTAATATTTATCCATATACGCTTCATTCGTTTTCAGATGCATTAACAAAATAATAATATATATGTGGACATTTTTATTTTTTAACTCTACAGGAGTATAACAATTAAGAGATATTTCATAATTTATATAATAGTTTTCCCCCAACATTGAAAAAAATCTTTATATAGAAGATAATGTCTACTGGACATATCATACATGTTACCACTTTCAAATATTAACAACTAATGTTAAGAATAATAGGATACATATCAAACAAGATATGCTCATAAATTAGAACAATTAAATTAAAAAAATATATAGTCTTATATAATAGGTAATTTTATCATATATATCTCATGTGATAAATTATGTATTTTTTTTTTACATGTGCTTCTGGCACTACATATTTCATATCACATGGATCAATCCATAAATATTCACATGTCCACGAAATGTAATTTTTTTTTCAGTGATGTCAAATGCCTCAAACTCGATCTTCACAAAATACAACATTAATGCTTAGATTTAAGAAAATTACAAATACAATCATTCATTATTCAAAGCGATCAGAACGGCTAATAAGAAACACATTAGAAAAAAACCTAATATATAAAATATAAACTCAGCAGTATGATACAACATCGTAAAAGTTCCTAAAGCGTATATAATAACCAATATAATGGTAATTATAAATAATAGATCAAACATTTTTATTTTATTGAGGAGAATATAGTGTAATATTTTGGAGTGAGTATCTATATATATTGAAAAAGAGATGCCAATAAATCAAATGAAGAAAGTTTAAAAAAAATATCAGTCAATCAAGTTGACTTACCGAATATGGCAAAGTTTTAAAACGTGAAATTTGAAATTGTGATTTGAAATTTTGATTCCATATTGCGGCTGAATCTCCTTATTTATCTGCATTTGTTACAATCCACGTTTTTTAATTCACTTGCACTATCCAAATTAGAGAAAATATCTTTCAAAATTAATTGGTGGAACCGATCAAAATCAGATCCGCATATCTCCAACAAATCTGATCCCAACTATTTCTCGCCATCGCTCCCAATTTTCCCAAAACCAAATCTCCCAAATCAGATCAAAACATATACGCACAACGGAGCTCAATCGGCTTCCCCATCGGCATCAATCTCTAATTAGTGGATTTGCGTGCTGGAGGAGAAGTTGCTGGCGATGATGGGGAAGATTGACGCCAACGAGTTCGGCGCCCTGTAAGCGGCGACAATGAAAGATGACTGAGGCGACGAGGGGGACGGCGGTGAAGAGGACGTGCGGGAGGCATTCCTGGTTTTCCATTGGGATGGGGCGCGTTCATTACGGCGGTTGAACTAAGGTATGTGCTGACGACGATGGGGCTGAAGTAGGTGAAGACGCCGGATGAGTACCAGAATATGATCGTCATGGTCGATGTCGACTTAAGTGGCGACGGGAGTGTCAACTTCGGAGACTTTCGGCAGATGATGAAGTGCGGAGGATAAATTTATTTATTTATTTATTTATTGTAAAAAAATTTGTTTTGATGTGCAAATTGCAATTGCCAATTGGTTGATGTAGTTAACGGATTTTGATTATTGCCTCTATTTCTAATTGGGCTGAGAACTAATCTTATGTTTTTTATCTGCAAATTGCTTATGGAGGGGTTTCTGGAGAGGACTAAGGTAAGGGTTAGGTATAAAGTCATTGGCCGCAGAGAGTGGTGATGGAACAGCAGCGGTGGCCGGATTCGTGACCCACTAGCCGGAGCTCCATCCTGGAGGCTGTGTCATGCAGGATGCCGATGATTGGGGGGCCGATATATGCGGAGCAGAGGATGAACAAGCTCGGGGCATGCACCTGTTCCTGGTCAACACGAACTCCACTTTGTCTTTTTCTGCAAGCCAGAGAGATTTCTTGAATCTGATGATAAGAATGGTCATGTTCGGCTTGAGAAAACTGTTCTAAAAGGTATATCTTCTCCGTAGAAACTTATTCTACATTCTTACTGACAGTAAGAACTAATACTTTTTCCTACATGCTTTATTTTTTATGCTGTTAGGTTACCATTTTGGAACTAGCTCTGATATAATGGAAAATGCCTAAATTATTCCGCTGATGTATGGATGTATATCATTTTGGAAAAATTAAGTTTATTCAAAAGTACAGTTGATGGCGCACATGTAAATATTTTACCCCTCTATAATATTTGTTAGCTTTCTTGTAGGAGATGATGAACTGAAGCAAGTTGCAGTGGGTAAAGGGGTATATGAGGATGTGTCATGCGGGCAAGTTATACTGAACTCAACATTAAGATGCCTGCAGATATTCTGATATTTATTTACAATTTTTTGTTTTTCCATGGGATTTTATGTTTTCGATTTAAATATTTATTGCTTCAGCATGTTTTATGATGTATATACGAATATATATAAGTGAAAACCTTTCTAAAGTCTAGAACTGAGTGGTTGAGGTGGTTGTGTGTGTGGCAATTTGCAACCTATATATAGGTAGACGAAAAAAAAGAGAAAGGAAATGTAGAAGATAAATAGGAAGTTGAATTGAATAGATATTTGGTTTGGTTCATACAGTGACTAATTGATCAATTGTTGGAAGGTGAATTCATCACCAAGCTTTTGTTTTCCCTTTCTTCTAGCATAATTAGGTGATATTGGAAACAATTTTTATGTGGTTATATTTGACGATTATTTTGTAGGTTAGCTGCTGAAGAGTATAGGTTACAAATCAGTACCCATTGATGGTACTTTTTTTTTTTTTTTTCCNCGACAGAACGCTCTTCATAAATAAAACTGAGTACATCATAATATCCGGCAAATGAGAGCACCATCACAGATGGGCTAGAACAACAACAAAAGGAAACAACAACAACCCTAAACACATTAGAGGTAAAGCAGTTACCCTCAACTGAGCCTTTACCTCTAACTCGAACCAAACCAAAACCAACTCACAAGACAAACATAAGAACCACTAACAAACCTTCACCTACAACCACGCACATAAACAGCTGCACCAAAACACTAACACACAGCTCACAAACAAAAAACCTGCAACTACAAACTAACCACAAAGGGAAAAGAAAGAACAACACACCTAACATCTACTGCCTTGGACAAAAGCTTCCCAATCCCGAGTAGCAGCTCTGGCAACAAAGAATGGAGGTCTATGCAATTTCTCGAACACCCACAAGTTGCGAGACTTCCAACTACAAAGGTAATGCAGAAACAGTGAGTTCAGTTTTGCATTTTTTTTTTTTTATGTACTGCCTAATGAAATTTTGTCTCTCATTTTCTTTATTTCTATTCAAACTGCCTGGTCCAAAAGTTATAGTCCAACAGGGTTTAGATTTTTATTTCTCGATTGTTTTCACAAGTTTGCTTTCTCTTCAATATATATATATATNTTTTACAGGAATTGTTCCAAATCACAGAGGGCGTGTATTGGTTGATGCTTCACAAGATCATATGCAATACGAGGCCGGCTTATATGTGTGTGGATGGTTAAAGAGAGGACCAACTGGAATTATTGCCACGAACCTTTATTGTGCCGAGGAAAATGTGAGTGTGGAAAACTTTTCATGTAGTGAAAATGATGCTTAATAATATTTAAATGCCAAACTACTATTTACTATTTAGGTTCATTCTATTTACAATATACCCATCTCCTTTTTCAAAATTTGAGATAAACCTTCGATGTTTGTTTTTACATTTATTTGCAAATATAGATAGATTATGGAGATTTGGCTTCTGACACTATTTAAGAATTTAATAATGTTTATGCTTATCTATCTATAAATATTGAAAAAGAGAGGTAGAAAAATCATTTACGAAAACTTTAAGAAAATTGGTCAAAACGGCTTTGACTTCCTATTTGTGGAAAGTCTTTTAAAAAACCGAAAAAATAATAAACTTTTTCTTGATTTTCTTTTTGTTTTAAATCATACCTAATTTATTTCCAATTTTTACGGCATTTTGTTTGGTGTAAAGTCATTTAAATATCAAGTGTTTGGTAATTATCCTAACAATTCTCTTGATTTTCTATTTGTTTTAAATCATACCTAACTTTTTTTTAGAAAGGTCAATAAATCAAATGAGGAAAGTTTAAAAAAAATCGCAGTCAACCAAGTTGACTTACTGAATATGGCAATCTTTTAAAAACTGTACAATTTGAGATTTTGATTCCTTATATTATGGTTGAAAATCTGTTCACGCATTGAATTGAAATCTGTTCACAGGTCTCCTAAAAAATCTGCACCCTCCCGTATTTATCCCCATAAATTAAGTTCTCCATATCTCTCCCAAAACACAATAGATCCGCCCAAATCCTTTAGCCGTTGCAGCTCTATGAATGACGCCTTAATCTCCCATAACTCCTCGTGGTTTCTCGCTAGATAATCTCCGGATCTGAGGAGAAGTTGCGGGCGATGATCGGGAAGATTGGCGCCAACGGGAACGTCTAGGTGGATGCCGAGGAGTTCAATATAACTCATGGCGAAGGTAACACCAGACTCCCGCCCCCACCTGATACCTCTTCGCTCGACGCAGGCCCCTCTAAGCTTCGCAAACTCATGTCTCTCACAGGTTTGCTCCATCTCTCCTTCTCATCAGCTCCTGCTTAATGCTATTTTTCTGGATCAAGTGCCACCTGCGTTTATCTTCTTATATTTCTTACTTCTCGCGTGCTGCTTCTTATCGAATTTCAATTTGATTACGCTTATAGGTTAAAGGGCTTAGCTCCTACTATGTACATCTGTTTTTACATGGTTGATTTTCGTACTGCGATGTGTGTGGTTAGTTTTCATTGTCTTTTTTTTTCAGGAGATGGGAGACGAATGAAGGGAAATACGGGTAATGGTGCCGAGAAGGTATGAAACGAAATGTGTTTGTCGTTTGCCTTGTGTTATAAGTAAATGTGCATATGTTGTTTTGTTGTTGATGTCAACTTGGAGACCTTAAAAGTTACTACCTTGCAAATTTGTTGTTCATGTTGATTTGGAGATTTATTGTTGGTATCTTGCAGAAAAACCCTTCTTGACAGGGCATTTAGTTAATTGTTTGAGTTGTGTTTAAAATTTACATATAGCCTAGCTTGGTATTTTTGAGAAATTTTATTCCCATGATATTGTCCTTTTTTTTATTGTTTCATCCTGGGAGAACTTTGTCACTTTTGGATGAATGCTTTAACCGAGAATGCATTTAACACCAATGGGCTATGTAGAATCTAGTGGGATTTGTTCTTGGAATTCAATTTAGGTGTTTTGAAAATTATTAAATTAAAAGACGAATCTTTTGTCCAATGTGAACTATTTTGTGTGGAGTATTTGTTTGATGGTTGATGGATGTTCTACTGAGAAATGTATGGCTTCTGGATTTCAGATTTAGATCTAAGAATAATTTTCGAACACCATTTTCTGATCAGGGGACTAGGAATGAAGAGAAAAAGAAGCAATCAAAATTTGAATCCGCTGCAATTAGAAAACCAACGTGGATCCCCAAAATTAGCAAGAGTGACAAGACAAAAAAGAAGAGAAAAATTAAAAAAGCAGAGGACCTACAGTTTGAGGCAGCTGATGAACTCGCTGATGTAGGTTCTCATAAAAAAGAACATAAAAAGCAGTAAGTTTTGTGGTTTTGTCTTGATATATTTTCCAGTCGAATGTGTTTCTATGATATGAATCCCATGAGGCTTTTGGAATGATATGAACTATGAAGATGTGGTGGGATATTTTTACTCAAAGCTAGGAACTGAAGTATATGGCAGAGCTTAAAACATCATAAGCTTCAACATTTTGTAAGATGTTAATTTAGTTTGGAATAAGTTGTTGACATGGGACCATAGGATGATACGGCACTGGATAATTCAATAATAACAATTTTGTTAATTGCACGAGCAAAATTATTGGAGGTATATTTTTCAGAAAGAATTTGAGAATCTTATAAGCACATTCCCCCCAAAATTAAATAAAAAAAAATTAAAATAAACTTGGAAAATCTTGATGGATGATGAACTTGAGAAGGTTTCGATATCGTCGACTCGGAATGTGCCGGATTTTGATGGATGAACTTGAGAAGGTACATTGCATTTATATTACTTAGAAAATCTTGTGTGATTCTCTATTTTATCCCTCAGTCTATAGCACAACTTTAAAAAAACAAAAATATTGACAGCTGAGAAAGCTCATTTTTTACTTTTGACAGCTGAGAAGGCACATTACACCACAAGATATCCAATCACTGCATTCAAGAAATACATAACGGAAAGCAAATTTGAAAACGAAGCAGATTTGAAGGCCACCGAGAACAAGATTGAAGAAATTGTTGAAGATTTTGTCGAGTTTGCCGATAAAAGCCCGGTTCCAGCCCGAAATAAGCTGCTAGAGAATGTATTTTCCGACCCAAGGGGATTCGGAATCAGGCATGATGAGAAGTACAGATATGAGGACCCTAAATTTATTGAGGGCACTGCTCAGGTGTAAGAATGATTCACACCTAAACTAAAAGCTTTGGTAGGATTAGTGTTCAGTTAAGTTATTTAGTTGAATCTTTATACCTATTTTTGATTGAAACGGCAATTTCAGTCTCTATTTTTACTTTGGAATTTTATTATTATTTCATAAGTTATGATATTATTTTTAACATGCTATGTTTACTTACAACATCATTATTATATGTGTCCTAACTCATGTATCCAAAAATTTTGCAGGAGAAAGAGCTCAGGCGGTTGCATGACAAGGTAGAAAATGAATAAACGCGACGCGTGAAAGAATAAAATGAAATTCAGAAACAGCTGAAAAGACAACAAAAGGAGACTGAGAGAGACCAAAGAAAGGAAACTAAGTTATGAGTCAAGAAACCGTCTTGCTTTCCAAAAATAATCGCCAATGAAGAAGTCTTTCAGTCATTTGCACAGTTGTACATATATGATATCGAAAACGAAATTTTAAATAGAATGAATGCTGTGAGGTTTGTATTTAAAATTAAATATGACGAAAAACACATGTATCCAAATATTATTCATTATGCTTATAATAATTTTATTTTTCAGACAAAGAGATGGTGACAACAATTTGGATTGAAACAAATGTTAGACGAAAACAACGAGCTGGTCAAGTCATTTCGCATGGCTAGCAATAGGATGCAGAACCACGATCAGCCAGAATACGTCTAATAGGAAAAAGATACAATGATGCCAGACGCTATAATCTACCCACAATCTTTGAAGTTGCTACCTTGATTGTCGGAGATTTCGACCAATGTTTGAGTGACAAAGATATATTGGTTGAGACTAAGAGTGGTCGTCTTCAACGGATAAATGAACTTAATGCTTCATATCCGGCATTACATTATCCATTATTGTTGCCTTATGGAGAAGATGGGTATAGGGAAGACATACCGTTTTCTGATCTAATAATGTTGTATACAAGGAAGTTTTTAATAATGTCTGACTTAGTACCAATGAAGAATTTATGCTTACTTTATGAATGACCTACGTATTATAACTTATTGATTAATGACCTTCATTTTATTAAATTTTTCTAAAATATGTACAGCCCGTGCATCGCACTGGTAACGTAGTAGTTAATACATGAAGTGAAGTGTTATATATATAGATTGATAAATAGCCGTTGCAAAATAGCCGTTGGATTTTTTTATTTTTTATTTTATTTTATTTTATTTATAAAAACACATTATTGATATAATATTTATTAATTATATCATTCATGATTATAAAATTATAATTAATCATGCATATTATTTTAGAATTTCTCCGAGTTACTAGGTGAATATTTTTAGTAAATATAAGTAACAAAACAAATAAAAATGCAACTCTACACTAATCGATAATTCTTTCGGTGAGTACACTTACTCGATAATTCTTTCGGTGAGTACAATAATAAGTAGTTATAAATTTCACTCCACACTACTAGGTAAACCGTTCTGTGGGTGTTAATTACAAGTAATAATATTATGTATTTTTATTATAACATGAAGTCATTTTTTTTTTTCAATTATTAGTAATTCATAAGTAAATATATTCTTACCTTTCTGACCGAGTAGAGCGCTTGTGTTGATAACGTGTTACAAAACAAGAGAGAAATAGAGAGAATGTTTTCTCTTTGTTGTATTTTCATTATAACTGAAGCTCCTATTTATAGGAAAACTTCTGATGGCACAATCGTAATAATACAATTACATCAAGAGCAAAATAGTCATTCATATATATAAAAATATTAAAAGTTGGTGTATTTGCTACACCTAATATCTAACATTTAATTTTATAACAATATACTTATTATCTAATTTATGATTTTAAATATTACATTAACGCACATTTAATCTAAATTTTTATTCGCAATATTTGTGTATGTGCACAAGATGGAATACTAGTTAAATAATAACAACCAATCATGTTTACACATCATATCGACTTTAATTCACTATTCATCCACTCACATAATTTTAACTAACCATCACTTTATATCATCTATCTCCTACTTTTAATATAAAATCAAAATTTCACTAAACAATTAACTATACAACTTTTTTAAATTAATTATAATTAACGAAAAATACTCACTTTTGAGTGAATTTATTGGTTTACAAGCACACTAGTATTTGCATAGGTGATAGAGCGAATGTACAAGAATTCAAATAGCCCAATTCAAAGAAGTACGGGCCGGCCCGCTCCAGTTTGAAGATGTCTGTGAGTGTAGATAAAAAGAGTGAGCTGTAGAGTAAGTAAGTATGGAGAGAGAGAGAGTGGAGCCCACCACCCATGTGCCCTTCTTCTGTCTCCACCACCATCTGCCATTGCCTCCTCAATCATTACCTCTCTCTTCACCTCTTTCTTCCTCTCTCTCTCTAACTCCATCGCCAACTCAACTCTTACTCACTCCCAATTTCATTCCTTCTTCCACAAATTCACACCGCTCTTCCAAAACCCTAGCTACACTCCTCACAGTCCCCCTTCTTTTTGCCATAAAAATCCTATCTTTTCAACGTTTATTTACTATGTCAACATCGGCGACTGACGGGTCTAACGGCGCCGCTGGACCCATTCTGGATCCTTCTCAGAGACTCCACGGCCACCAGCTTCAACCAGCTCCCATCAACACCACCGCCGCCGCCGCCGCCAACTCCGCCCTGGCCGTCAAGAAGCCCCCCGCCAAGGACCGCCACAGCAAGGTCGACGGCCGCGGCCGCCGCATCCGCATGCCCATCATCTGCGCCGCCAGAGTCTTCCAGCTCACCCGCGAGCTTGGCCACAAGTCCGATGGCCAGACTATTGAGTGGCTCCTCCGCCAGGCCGAGCCCTCTATTATCGCCGCCACCGGCACCGGCACCACTCCGGCGACCTTCTCCACCGTATCCCCATCCTCCGCCCGAAACTCCGCCTCCTCCATCTCCGCAGCTCTCGACCACAAACCCTTTTCCCATTCCCTTCTCACCCCCGCCCCCTTCATACTCGGTAAGCGGCTCCGCCCGGAAGACGATGACCACCAGCAGCAGCAACACCTCCCCAAGGACGACGGAAACTCCTCCACGGCCGTGGTGGGGCCTACTGTCCCTGCTGGAGGGTTTTGGGCTTTGCCCGCCAGGTCAGACTTTGGCCAAGTCTGGAGCTTTGCGGCGCCTGAAATGGTGGTTTCAGCCACCGGGGGCTCGAATAATTCCCAGCAACAGCAGCAGCAGCAACACTCTGCGGCTGCTTTGAGGTTTTTGCAGCAACAACAGCCTTTGGGAATTGGGGAGGCCTCAGCTGCCAGGGTTGGTAATTACTTGCCCATAGCTCAAGTGCAGGGACACCACCTCAATTTACTGGCATCTCTTTCCAGTCCACACTCTCAATCGGCCGAACAACAAAGAAGGGATGGAGAAGCCAATTAACGGGTGCCTGCTTAACCTGTTCTCATGGCTTGTTGATGGTGTTTCTGTTGTTTTGATCTTGCTAATATGAATGAAATGAGTGAATGTGCATATGAATTTGAACTTCTAAGTCTTCTCTCAGTTTGTTGTGCTGCTTTAATGTTGGTCCGTTGCTTGTTGTGTTTTTATGGAGAGACAAAACAAGACAACTCCTCCCCTCCATGTATTGCCTGCCCTCGCCTGGTGTGTTAGTCTATGTAGAATTAAGGTGTTTGCTCTTGTGGATTGCATTGTGGCCTTTTCATGTTGGTGATGCTGGTATTGGTAAATTTCTATATCCAGTGTATGCCTTTACCTTTTGGAGTGTTATTTGTAGTTGTTTGGTTGATTGAAATACTTCAATTCATGTAAGGGTGTTAGTCAATAAAGGATTTGTTCTGAATTTTAATTGAATTACTTTCTTCTTTGTGCAAATTATGTGGCTCTCTGCTCATTTATAAACTGAGAAAAGGAGGTTACAGGTTCTACAGGTACGTGCTTCATGCTAGTCTAGAGTGCAGCGTATATGCGGATGTATGTTTGAAGAGAATTTGATAAAACGGAAAAAATGCAAAAATGATAATGGTTTGATAGCATTATGTTATGTGGGTCCCTTGAATAGCAAAGAGAAGTGTTATCTATCGAGATTCCACTCAAGTTGAAGTTCTTTAAGATAAAGAAAGATAATTCAATCAATCAGTATGAACGATTCTGGCTTGAGGGGATTGATATAGGCAAGTTCTAGTGGTCTTGCTGTTTTGTTATGCAAATATACAAAATTTGATTAGTTCTTTCCAAGTTTCTGTTGGTCCTCTCAGTCCCTCACTCGAAAACTTCCCTTTCTGTTAAAAATAAAGAGGGGGTGAGAGAGAAATGGCATCTCTTCCCTAATTTTGGCTATGAACCCTTGTTTCTTTAAGTTACCCTTGCATTGTGATTACGAGACCATTGGTCGAAATTTTGGCATATAGTAAGATATTGTAAGTTTCAACTGTGTTTCCCTTGTTGCAGTATCGGTATAAACTCCAGTCGTTAGCAGTCAAAAACATTTAATCTTTTCGGCTGTGTGTTGAGATCCTAGAAATATCTCCCTCTCTCACAAGCCGCCAGCTAGAATGTATTATCTTGTTTTGGGCCATATTTTACGTCAGTATTCTCATTGAGGATACAGATTGTACAACAACATTCAACTCAACTCTGCAGCTGATAGTATGTTTGATAGGTTTTCCTTTCCAAGTGTCTGCCCATTTCCATGCTGAAGATTCTTGTAATCTTTTTAGCATACTATTCATTCTCACTCTGAAATTTGCCAACAAGTTATCTGTGGCTCTCTCATTATTGTCATCGGCCATACCACAGAAACTGGTTTTCACTAATAAAAGGAAGCTAGTACTTGAAGACATAGATTTTGTTTGTTAAAATGAGAGGAACAAGTGTTTGTATACACAATTCATCTTTTTTTCTTTGTTGTATTCGGAACCATTTTCTTAAAATGATTCAGTTTTGGCCGCGTGTTAGCCAAGTTGGACTATGCCGGATTTCAATGTTCAACTATTTCCAATTGCAGTTACAATATCTCTATCTTGATTTGTTTTTCATTGTTTTTTTCTCTACCAAAATAAAATGAAGGGTGAACATAGGGAAAAACAAGCAATCACACTTTTATTTGATGGAATTTGAAATAGTGCTCAATCAAACTTGCCTCTCAGGAGGGAAACAGATGTCTGTCCCATCACACAGCTCAAGATATCTCCATGTGCAGTATTTGCAAAGACATTTAAACCTAGAAATTTGATTATTTACTTGACATTTAGAAAGCCTACTTCCTCAACATCATGTATGTGTTTGTGTTGAAGTTATAAAGAAAAGAAAACGATATAGAACTAGAAGATAAAGGTAAACTGGAAATATACATATGAAGGGGCACCAAACAAGTTCAGAAACAAGAAATCAAGAATGGAAGTTGAGGGATTGTTGCATTTCATCAATTTTTTGTGAGTTGTATCAAGAATGGAAGTGGAAGGATTGTTGCATTTCATCAACTTTTAGTGAGTTGTATCTGAAACCCGTTCACCAGTCGAGCTGATGGGAAAAATGACATTCGGTCCTCCTTTACTTGTCTCCACCTACAAACCATCATTTATTCAATTACATGATGAAAGACTGCAAACTCTTTTGATGTACAAAACCAAAATATAATGACCTGAAAGTAGTGAGAAAATAGTGAAGGAAGAGTGCAATCTGAAGGCGAGCCAGCTCAGCCCCCGGACAGAATCTACTCCCACCTCCAAACGGCGCAAAATACACACTGCTCCTCCAGTTCCTCTTCTCCTNTCACACCATTCTTTAAACTAAGTACTCTGTACCAGAGAATAAAATAAACTTTCTTCAAAGATGGCTAACCTGATTTTCCGGTTTCATCCATCTCCAAGGGTTGAAACTAAGCGGATCCTCATAAACCTGTTCGTTTAGATGGACTGCTGAAAGAAATGGCACCACAAAGCTTCCTTTGGGGATTATGTAATCTGCAAAATAGGAATAAATCAGTATATTTATAATGTATCTATTTGTTCTCAGAGCTAAAAACAAGTGTGATATATTACATTTACGTCCCTTGCTATTATATACGAGTACCTTGATATTCTACATCATCTTTGGCTTCTCTCATCAACCAGATTGCAATGCCTCCTATGCGCAGAGTTTCATCAATTACCTGTGTGAAGGATTTGAGTAACTCATTATTAATGAAAACTTAAAATTTCTTACAAAGTTGAGTTTGGGTTAGAAATTTAAGAAGAGGACTACTAACACATTGAGTGAAAGGCATAGCTTTGTAATCTTGCAAATTAAGCATCTCCTCACCCCTTTCACTCCTTAGGCTCTGCTGCTCATCCTGTATACATATATATCAACAAAATGTGATTTTAAATTCAACGACAAGTTTGAAAAGAAATGGTAAATAGACTTGGCAAAGGTACCAGCAATTGCTTCATAGCTGTGGGACAATGTGTGAGGAAATAAATCGAAAAGAGCATGGTTTTAGCTGTTGTCTCGTTCCCAGCGAAGAGAAGGTTAATGATGAAGTCAGCAATAGCAGCATTCGGCAAGGTTTCATCATCTATCAGCCTCCCAAGAACACCATTACTGGCACTTTCTGCAAAAGATTTCTGTCGATGAGCCTCAGTTGTCTTGTTGATTTTGCTAATAATACTCTCCCTGGCCTGTCAAAAAAAAAAAAAAAGTAAACGCCGTGTGGGAGAACAAGTTAAGTCAAGAACTATATATGCACATTCTTGTTATATTTCGTTACCTTCATTGCTTTGTGATAGGGAAAGCCTGGCAAATTGATGGGAAGAGAAAGGCAGCCATCGGCAAAATCAGAGAACAACTCTGCTATCTCATTCACTTGCGATTCAGACGATACCCCCAGCAGTTGATTCACCATCAGATTAATCGCCACCTGAGAAAGTAAGAAAAAAAGAATTGAGCTACATACATTTCAGCATATGCAAAATATTTTCACACAAAATGGAATAAAATAATTCAGCCAACCTTTCTGCAAACATCCTGGAGAGGAACAACTTGATCGTGATGGAGATTAGTGACAATGTGTTTGATAACAACCTGAATATCCTCCAAGAAATGAATCTTCAGCTTGTCCAGCCGCATCATATTAGATGCAATCGAGTGAAGCTTCTTCTGCTGCTCTCCCTGTGCATTAATCACCCCATTTTTGCCCACCAAATCCCTGAACGATTTCGGGTAGCTCGACTGGAAAAGTTTCCCTTCATTCTGCATTACGAAGCGGTTGAACGACGGGTCGGCTGACACAACTGCCCACTTCCCGAACAGGTTGCAAGAGAATATATTGCCAAACCTGTCCACACAACAGTAAAAAACCAAAAAAAAAAGGAAAAAAAGTTACCATCTTTAGTAGTTTATACTCAGGAATATGCAAAATCATCAAACTATCTTAACATATTATCGCGAATAATACACCGTTAATTACCTTTTAACTTGTTGCTCAACAAAAGACGGGGGATGAGAGCTCACAACAGCATTGTACCAACTTATGCTGTGGCCAATTACGGGCCATCCTCTTTGTCCTGGAGGTAGCTTAGAGTTTCGTGCGTGATTTTTCTTCTTTATTTTGGCGAAGAAAAGAATGTATAAAGGGATTAAGCTTATAACAAACGGCCATAATATAAATCTGCTCAGAGTTTGTGTCATCTTCAACTCACAATATGACGATCGTTAGCTTGCTAGAAGAAACAAAAAA